GCACGCCGCGCCAGTAATGAGGGCTGAAGGCTTCGCCCTTGAGCATGAGGCGCATGGGCGTCGGCAGCTGCAGATTCTTCTTGGAGCCGATGCTGCTCCAGAGGTTCAAGTCGTAGACAAACTGCAGCAGCTGGAAGTCGGCGGCATAGCCCAGCAGGCGACCCAGCGCCAAGGCGGCGAAGAGCCGCTTCATGCTGTGTCGGGCGGTACCAGCGTCCTCCACAGCCTCCTCGTCGGTGTCCTGGATTCTTCCTCATCGCTGTCGCTGTCGCTCTCGGCGGCAAGAAACGCAGTGTGCCGACCAGTGTTCAACACTTGCTCCAAGGTTGGGGCCTGCTCCTGACGAATCACCCGCCTGGGGCCCGTGGCACGCTCGTGCGTGAAGGTGTGCTTGACATCCCAGAAGAGGACGGGCCACAGAGCGCACTCCACGCCCACACGCTCGATGAACTGCAGCCGGCGACGGCGAGTAAGCTCATCTGCGCCGGGGTGATCCTGCAAGAACTCGGTGTGCTCGGCCACGAAGGTCGCGTGCGGAGTGTCGTCCGAGGCCAGCAGGAAGTCGTAGGCGGCACGGGCCTTCACCCGCATGTTCGCGTCCTGGCCAACGCACAAGTAATCCATTTGCATGGGTTATATCTGGGTAACTAGGCAGACAAATATAGATAGTTGTACAGAACGCCGTGCCTGCAACAGCTTGACGCGCTTCTTCACCGCCCTCGGCTGCCAGCGGAAGCGGATCAAGGTTGTCTTCTGGCGGTACCCGGATTTGTGCTCGGCGCGAACGACCGGCCCCACATCGATCTCCAGAGGTGACAAGGCTTCTGCAGCTTCTGAGCTAAGCCCTCGCAGTGGCTCCGGCACATCTGCCATTGTCACAACCGGCTGTGCCCGCGCAGCTTGGCACCTGGAGCACTTGCCCGAAGCATGGGTAGGCTGCTGTGGCCTGCTAAGGCTGTTTTCCGTGAGGTCGCAAGGTGCGAGGAGGCCGCAGCTGGTGCACAGGCTCCAAGAATCATAAAGGCACCAGCGCTCGAAGTCCTCGGCCAACCGGCGTCGCTTCGCTGGCGGCAATCCTGTGGTGTTGTCCACGGCCTCGCCAGCTGTGGTGCGCTTGGCAGGCTGGCCCATGCGACGCCGCGCCCGAGCCCTGTCTGCCAGCACCTGCTCCCGATATTTCTTCTTCATCGCCGCTGATGCCGGGCCTCCAGCTGCTTGTCGCGAGGCCAAGGCACCCTTCCACAAGTCAGGGAGCTGCTGCTTGTCCGGCAGGCGCCGGCCACCCCGCCCAGCTGCGCGCTTGGGCGCTGCACCCTGCAGATGCGCTTGAAAGTATT